TACAACAGCAATTATCCAAAACATTCATGATTCAACCGTATCTGGCCATCCCGGAAGAGACGCGACTCTAGCACAAGTTGCTCGAGAATATTTTTGGCCAGGAATAAGTAAATCTGTTAAACGATATTGCAAGAATTGCCACATTTGTGGGCGCTCGTCTATCTGGTGCCACCAAAAACAGGGGCTACTCAAACCACTTCCTGTGCCCAACAGATTTCACCAAGAGCTCTCAATAGCCTTTATGGTTGACCTACCTAAGTCAAATGGTGTAACTGTCAGGAACTGAGCATAGAGCAGCACCCTCATATTCTTTCCCTACACTACATCTGAATATTCTCTCATCTTAGAGCGTTTACCGGGTTACAATGGTTGCTATGGGTTACAAATGAAGTAATAGAATAGCAGCAGGTGCACCCCTTGAAGCCTTAGTTGCTCTGGTTACTATGATGTATATGGGTTGGGTAGAGCCGATAAAGAGGGCCACATCTTGTTTTCTGTCTTCCATTGACCTTGTCTCCTGTCCTAGTTTCTCTTGTCCCTTGTCCTCAGTTATAGCTAGAATCCCGAATTAATACCTTAGACTATGACAAATCTTGTCAGATATCACTCGCACTTCTAAGTTATCCATACAACACAACCCCTGGTACCCTCGAGTTTGACAATGGGGAATTTGATAGTTAACTTAGCCGGACTTACTAATAAGTTATTCTTGGCATTCCAAGATATATCATATTTCAACAATATCTATGCGCCTATATACATCAATACTCTGTTACCCCTCAGCTACAGGGAGATCTGCTCTTGTGACTGTGCGATCTGATCGTGTGAGACCATAAGGCACTAGCATTTTGGCTATGTGCCGTACATCCAAAATCTGAACAATTCGTGACAATATAGATCTTTTCAGGATCCACAATGGGTTGGCCACAGAGCGTTGTACAGCCGCAGCTGGGGCAGGCGCTTGCTGTTTTGGGCAGGCATTCTTGAAGAGGTTTCAAGGAGAATGTTCTCAGGAAAAGGTGATAGGAGAAGGTTTTAAGAAAGAGTTTGGGAAAAGGTTTACTGAAAAGGTTTCCGAGAAAACTCCTACAGTTAGAGATGGAGGGGCTGGCTTCATGATGGCATTTGTCATAGTCTTAGTTGAGTTCAAGTACTATCTCGAGTTAGACTTAAGGAAGCTGGAGCTACCACATAGTAGCTCTTCAGCTTCTCAATCTTTCATTCTTTTGATCTTTGATCTTGCAATCTAGATTTACATAATGTTATAATCTTATATATACACAGTCTGATATTCTCAGTCTTTCGTTATTTGTTACATTCTTAGTACTTCTGTTCACCCTGAGTTATCAGCCTTGATTGCCTGCTCGTCAACTCGACTTCTTGACTTTGTGTCTTTCGACTATTCTGTAGTTCTACAACCTTTGACTACCTGGCACCTCGCCAATCGAATCATATCTAAGTATCATTTGTTGGCAACTGTAACCCTAACAGTCATTAATACCTTACCTTCGGCAGACGGCGATCTCCAGTATCCTTAGCGCACGTGTTTTACTTGGTATATGAAATGGGGAACGTACGCTTGCGGTGACGGCTAAGATAGATTGGATTGCAGAAGATGAGATTGATCAGATGATGTGTGAAAATGTATATAGAATATGTGTCTATCTACATAGGAAAGATTAATGCTTTTATGTGTGGCCAAGTCGCTTACTAGCCAATCACTTGGACCACTCTGTTCATCCATGCTATTTCCCACTCCGAGGCAAATGCGCCAAACACATCATGTGAGTTGTCTTCCCCGCAGGAAGAACTCCATGATATACCCTCTTCACGAGCACCACGTGCCTTATCTACTTTAGCTAAGCACAACAGCACGCTGTAACACTTGCCTTGTGTTTCTGGCCACTTGGAGGGGGGAGGCTTGCTACCGCAAAAATGGATGAAGCAAGGCCTTGATCCTGAGTTGACAGGATCTTCGGAACTTTGGGCGTAGTCCGCTGTAAAGGGACGGACGGAATATGGCTGTTTGACGGCGGCTGAGACAAAGAATGCAGCGCGTCATCTTCTGCCTCGAGGTCCATGAATTCATTCTCAGATTTATGTGCATGTCTAGAGGGGCGGGGGGAACTTGATTTAGTTCAACAGGCATCCGAGGTTCCACAATGACTGTTTGAGAAGATTTTTTATTACGCTTTGTAATGCGAGTGGATGAGGCAGCCCCGACTGGGCTGGGGTTGATCGTTTTCCTCCGCCTTAAAGCAGGCATTGTCGCCGACTTTTCGGTCAGTTTCCAGCTGTGTATCTATTGTAAGTGATATGGGTTTGTCGGAAGCATTTAGATTAGAATGGCATGAAGTGTGAGACAATCACGAGGTATGAAAATGGTAGAGAGGCAGCCTTAGGAATGTAAGATAGATTGGCTATGGAAGGAGAAATAGGACTAACTACAGGAGCTCTATATACATGAGGTGTGGGTGTTTGCTGAGTAATGCCAAGACTAGATTGGAATTCATGTCACGTGTAGGTGTTTCATGTTCAAGCACCTACACTGCCTTGCTCATTGCATGTTTGGAGCCCTGAGGGCGTAACTGAGACTGATTATTTTTATTTTTTTATAATTATTTAACGTCGTGCTGAGACCTATTATTTTGATTAACTTGTGGTATGTAAACGTTAAATTAGTCAAGTGATTTATGATAGCCTCGGAACTGCAGTTCCTGTGTGGGACCAGAACATTCGGATCGTAGTACCCCCCGGCTCAGGGTTCGGAATGACTGTTGCACACTCCACCTCTGAAGAGGAGGAGCTTTAAGACATATAGAATATACAACATACAGATCACAAAAGACCTTTAGATATTGATATACATGTTCAATTACGACCTAATGACGTTGATATTCAAGACGCACACCTGTGTAAGCAAGTCATCTAGTTGAAGCTTGAAGGCGCGGCCGAGCGCAATATCTGTTGGTAAAACATAAAGCAACACCACTCGGATGCCGACATAAAGTTAGCGAGTAGAGCAAATTAAATGGTATCTCGAAATACATCTATGGTTGCCTCTTCTGCTTCATCTCCGTCCCATTTCTCCCTCTTCTCCAAACGCATCGCTGGTAGTTCCAAGTCAGAACCGAGTCAGAGTCTTAACAACTTTCTGAATATTACAAGTTTACAGGACAATTCATACGGCTCAAATTTGATCCGTTTCCGAAAATATCGTCCTCTGTCCTATCTTTTCCAATTTTCACTGACTTAAATCTAGGAATCAGTTGTGGAGAATGGTGACTCTGTTGGTCGTGCTTGATACACTCATCGCATCACCTGCTGGGTTCTTCAGGGGAAATACGGTGGAATCTTCCATTTGGGCTGGGAATTTGAACAATTACAAAGCTATGGCTAGATTGCTTCTTCTGTGGTAACGAGACCTTGGAAACTTGCTCTCCTGCCCTTCGAAAAGTCCCTAATTACTCTTTTGTCGGTGCACTAGTCCTTGTTGGTCGGATCAAACATTTGGAGCTGTCAAATCTATGGGGGCTCCACAGGTTCCAAATTCGGAACCCTCGCTTAGTTGTGATATCTGGATTTGTAGCACTTTTGTATTAAGTGGATTTAACCGACAACTCTCCACCGTAGTTTTCAGACTCTTCACTTTCCCAATTAACTCCACTAGATGATGTTAAATAGAAGCCCAGCGGCTAAAGCCTCTCCACATAACTCCCACTTCAGCTGGAGTGTGTCCTGATAAACCACTTCGCGTGGTGCCTTGTGCGAAAGGCAGACCCATTTGCAGAATATCACCTACATGCCAAGACTAGGCCAGTAGCTCAGCCTATTGTATCTGTTATCAGATGGTACCCGTAACGGTAGCCTATTTGATTAGCTGAGAGAGTCCGAATTATCTAATGTTATTAAGTAGAAATAAAATTCCGAGATAGTTTGAGTATTTACAGAGTCTCTGACAAATAGTTGTGATACAAGAATTTTGCATGCTCCATCTCATCGGCAGATGAGCGACTGGTTGGATTCCAGAGAGGACAGAACCGCTGCTGCTTCCATTCCAAATACACAACTGGATATTAATTAGACCAACTCTTAATCCAATCCGTGCATTAACCAATCCATTATTCGACCGAGTAAAGTGTATGCTCAAGGCTAGTATTCGTTTTTAGCGAGGAAAAATATTGATCTTGAAATTACATTTAATAGATTTAATCTTGTGTACTTCAAATTTAATTCATCTAGACAGTGAGAGAGAATACCATCCACACCTAGGTAGAAAATAGAATGCTAGACTGGAGAAGAAAATAATCCTGGAGGACTTGGGAAATCGTTAATGTAGGTTCATGCCAGGGCTTTAAATTACGAATGAGTTTACGAGACCAGATGTGGGGGATTCTTCTTGCGCAGCTGTTCAGAGTCTACTATCGTCAATCAATCTAGTTCCTCTGCCTCTTCTATTCTGAAGCGGAACGGGTGGGCTCCGTCCATCAGGGTGTCGGGAATTAGGATCGCTCCAATTTACAACACTCCATTAATATCTAGATGACTCTGGCATATGCCGGAACTCTGCTATGGTTTTGCCAATGAAAATAGCAACCTCTAGCACACATAACATCTCTTAATACATATCCCTGCCTGGTTTTCTACATTTCAATTCGAGCAAGAGCTTTCCTCTCAATCTAGGGCCGAAATAACTTGACGGAAGATTTCAGATGCGCGATTAAGAACTTATTGAGAGATGTGTGGCAAGTTCTTTTTAGACATCGGAATTTAACGTCACGCCATGTGTATAAGAGAGACTATTTCCACATCTATTCTATCTCCAGCTCACAAGTCTCGTCACAGCTTCCAAAATAACCCGAAGAAACTACTTCACGCTCTCACACAGCTCCTACTGTTCCTTTGTTAAAATCCGATAAGTCTACGACATTAAAACTATCGACAAATCAGGTCACCCCACCAAAATATAAGCAATATTTATTTTACACAACAGCTGCAAAATGAGAACCTTCAGTCTTGTGTCACTGGCGGCTATTTTAAATTATCTAACGCTTCCATCTGCCGTTGGGAGTGGCCCTGTCGCTAACGCTTCAAGTTACAAGTGTCATGACAGGGTCATTGGTCCGGTTACCTTAAATGATCAGATAGAAAAGGCATATAGAGAAGCATTAGAAGCAGGCACTTCACCTAACGGACTAAGGAAAGGACAGAAATTTGGTTCAAGATACTTTAATGTAATCTTAAAAAGAGGAGAAGGTATGAAGTTTCATTCCAAAAAACTTTATTTCCTACTAATTAATATCTTCAGAAAATATTAAAGTCGAATTTTTTGTGGGAATCAACTATTTGAAGGAAATTATTTATCTACAGGCTTATGTCCAGAGCGTATTGCTAGATTGTTATCCAACAACAGAGAGGCCTCAATTAAACATAATTCTGCACTAGTAATTAGGATGAACTTTAAAGACGCAATATTTGATCATCAAAAATTTTCAGACTAGAATGGAATAGAATAGAACGAGTAGAAAAGAAATGGGGCGGTTCAGAGGGGAATTAGACTTCGCTACTTTAAATGTTGAAAGCTATGAAAGAAAGTGTGTATATCAAAAACCGTGATTCTCAGTACCAGGAAATAAGAAAGAAATTCTACTACTCTATTGAATCTCACCTCCGCCCACTTTTGTAATGTGACAACAATAGTTATTTTTAATCAATCAAAGTGTTACGGTTTGACCGTTGTTTTAGCTTAGGTGGAAACCTAAGCATTTAATTAGGAATAATTACAATAAGACTGAAAGAGGAAGGATAGGCAAATACAGATGAAATGGCACTACTGGCCAGGAGGTCGGAGCAACATCATAGCGTAATGGCTCCTGATAATACTTGGCTCGGTAGCAAGTATTAGGCCCAGGGGGAAGTTATCAGCCAGCAGATTCACGAAGGGGACCAAACGTTATAAGTACTGTTAGTAGTAGCTAGAGATTTCTTTTCTCTTCATATAGTTTAATAAATCGATTTATTCATCACCAAATCAGTTTTTGTCACACAAAGAGGCTATTTCAGCTGCAAGCAGGAAAATCAAACACTTTGAGATAAGAAAATTTTATATACGTAATCAAAATTTGAGAGATGACAGCAAGTGGGCGGGAAGAACGACACATTCATGGAACGGTCAGAATCCTGGATGAGCCATAAATGGCGGCGCTCAGGTCTCCAAGCACAGGCCGATCCTGATAAGTGGAAAGCTACCAACTCGTACAACTGATAGAGATCTAATCTGTCCATAACTCTGAGCTTCATGATGGCCAGCAAAACGAAGAATCTCATAGCCTGTTATGGGGGGGGCCAAGTTGCAATGTCAAGGTGATAAAGAGTCTGGTGGGTATAGGTTAGGTTTAAGTAACTGAACGTGACACAATCTATATCTAGTGCGCGCTTCACTCTATTTGCACATGACAAGCGAGACCCTAATACTAGCGCTGTTGAGAATCCAGCCTTGTGAAACAAGCCTATGTGAACTAAATTCTAATCTAATCCCAACACACACAATTTTTTGAAATTCGAATTTTCGAATCTTCACCTTTTTCCCGTCTCCCTCCCTCACGTGCTCGCCGCATTCTATCAAAAATTGTGATCGAGTCACTGGCATTTTCACCATGCCACCTGTTCGAAAAAAGCGTCCCAACGCCAAGTTGGACAACACGAGAGTCCACCCGAGGGCTCTCGAGCAGGTACCTGGCCTTGCCCAGTCTCCGAAATGCGCGGAGATGAGCAAGGTCTCCATCAAAGGAAAGGAAAAAGCCCTCCCCGCCGTCGCTGAACCCGATACTGACATGATCGGGTCAGTCGAAACTGTTGAGGAAATTCCTCAACGAACCTCCGTCCCCCACGGGATTGGAGAATCATCCAAACCACCTCCGACCGTGTCAAAACCGTCGGAAAACGCTGCACCCAAAGCAGCGTCAACATCAACGTCTCAGCCAAAAGCTGCCACGAAAGCAGAGTGTCCCCTCCAGCTCCGATCAATAGTCGAAGCTGAACAACAACGCGCCGCCGAAATAGCGGCAAATCTGGCCCTCTGCTCCGCCGCCATCTCTGGCGTCGAAGCAACCCTCCTCCCTTTGACCAACGGGTCAAATAGACAATTCGTAGACTCCATGAGAGTCTACCTACGCGCCGCCATTGCGCAATACATGGCCACGGGCCCGGCCACTACGCCACCCGTTCTCCCTCCTCGCCCAACGAACCCTCTCCCAAGGGCTCCCGACGCCAGGAGACAAACAATATCCACCGTCCCAGCTCTGCCTGTCAAAAGCACCTGGGCCACGGTGGCCAGAAACGGACTGCAACAAAAAGCAGGCCCAACTGTGAAGGCTGTGCCGCGACCTGCGGCCAAAGCCCAACAAAAAGAAAACCCCAAGTCGAAAGTCGATAAGCGACTGTTCCTTCGCCTTGAAAAGGACCACCCGTGGCGAAAATTGTCCACAAGTAGCGTGAGAACTAAGTTAGAGTATACATTCAGCTACTTTAACCAAGAAATAACCTCACTCCACCGAGTCAGAACGGGCTTTGCTATGCTAGCAAAGAACGAAAAAACACGACAAGAGACTTTAGATGGCTCTTCGAAGCTGGCGAGTCATAACGTCAAACTCGAGGCATCTTCGGATCTTGTTGCCTTACAGATACCGAACGTACCTGTAAGTATAGTTACAGTGTGCGGTACCAGGGCGGTCGATGCTAGCTGGGTCTCTGCCAAGATTCTCGGTACGACCGGCGCGATACCAATCCAGGTCCGACCTCATGGGACATGTCGACCTGGGGCACCGTATCAGAACTGGCATGCCCTTTTCACGCGGGACAACGCCCCTCGTGCGGGCTTCCGCATCTTCGACGAATCTGGCATGGCAACCATTCACAAGCCTCGTCGGCAAATTGAACAGTGTAAACGCTGTTTGGGCTTCCACGCCACTCGTGGTTGCTCCCGCGCTCCAGCCTACTGGAACTGCGGCTCCAACATGCACTCGGAAGCCGAGTGCAAGGCCCTCACTAAGTGTCGCAACTGTGGGGGACCCCACCGATCGGATTCTCGGGACTGCAAAGTCAGACCCAGAAAGTCTGGGCCGGTGACAAAAGAGCAGCTCGCATGGATACGCCACCTCGAGCAAGGGAGGTTCGCGGAGGCGGCTCGAGCTAGGGCCGCAGCCAAAAAGGCCGAAGAGGCAATTGTCGCCGCGGCGAAGGATGTGTCAATGGCTGAGGCAACAGGTTTCGGAGTGCTGGGATCTGAAGAAGAAGTTTGAGGACACAGCAACCTCGACGATGTCCCCTTCTGGGGCATCCACTAACAATTAGCAGGATACCGGCTGGATCAAAGGTGCCTGCTAACTCATCTTTCGCACTCAGCATAGAAGGAGTAAATTTGTCATTTGGAAGGTGTGACAGAGGAGAGAATGTGTGAGGAGCACATTGACTGGGTCCAAAATGGAGGAATCTTCTGGTTTTTTCGGAGTTGTTTTGATTTTCTTGATTTTTCGTTTCTGTTTAATCAGCTGCACTTTTGGTAGCAATTTTCACGGTTTCAGTACAAAAGGCTTGGGCGATCTTGTAACTACAGTATATTAATTATAATTCTCTGGAGAGAGAATTCCTCAATGTAAAGTCTACATATATATATATTCTAAATTACTGCCCTTCAAGATGATTCTCCCTGTGACCTGAATAATTGAGCCGCTTCTACAACTACCTAGAAGGTTCTCGGTACACCCGTTATCCTCATGAACCTTCAGTATGTTTCCAGAAGGTTCACTGAGAATATTCGAAGTTCTGTGGCTTCCAAGACCATCCCCTTGTGCCATAGCCTACGCTAGCCAGCGTAGACTACAGGAGTCTTTCGGCTTAACAGCCGTCACAATCCCCCCTCTTCTTCTGAAGGGCTTCAAGTATATTATATATATATATATATATATATTTTCTTTTCCCTAATATCTCCTTGTATTTCCTTGCCGACGTTCTCTCCGTGACCTCTGGACATGAGGTTCTGCTTGACCAACATATCGACCTGAATTATTTTCTGAAGGGCCATTATTGGTTGTTATTGGACCATAGGTGTCCTCAAATATTCTCAAAGCCTCCGTGTCTGAGACGTATTCAATCGGCTCCCATGTTGGCTCTACCCAGCCAGTCCACCTAACCAAGGCCTGTCTAAATTTACCACGGCCGCGTCTCACTGTTCTTGCTCTTAATATTGAGTCCACTTCGTATTCTTGCTCCCGCAGGTCGTCAATAATAGCGGGGTTCTATGCATCGTCCCGTCGCTGACTTGGGAAGGGATCCGCACTCGCTCGCTTGACTAACTCGACATGGAAGCGGTTGTGAATATTCCCTGGCACATTCAACTCCACAGTTAAAGGGTCTGGAACAGCAGTCACGTCGTACTTTGCGTGGAGCCAGGCTAGCTTTTTGGAAAGCTGTGGCGTCTTTACATTCCGAAGATGTAGCCAAACCTTATGGCCAACCTTAAATTGGTCGGGTTGTCTTCGAAAGCGATTGGCATTGCCCTCATTTCGCTGCTGCGCTGAAGCCATTGCTGCCTGTGCAAAGTCTTGTGCATCTCTTAGCCTTTTTACGTAGTCTTGGGCAGATAGCCGACCTGGGTGTCGAGAACCATTTTCTGAGATAGGCGTGGGTTCTGCCAGAGGTTCCAAATCGTATCCGTGCCGAAGGAAGAATGGACTCAGTCCCCCAATCGCTGAGCTCGGTCTTGAATTTAACGCCAGTTGGGCTACAGGCAACAGTTCCATCCAATTATCTTGTGTATAGCAGGTGAATGCACGAAGGTATTTGTATAACTCCTGATTTGCTCTTTCGCTCGCATTAGACTGAGGATGGTATGCCTTTGTCAAGCGTTGAGTTATTCCAGTCAGTTGGCAGAATGTTCGCCAAAAGGTTCCAGCCCAGTCACTACCCCTATCACTCGTTAGGTATCGCGGAAAGCCGAAGTAGCGGTAATATCGGTCAATAAAAACTTTTGCACAATGTACTGCTTCCATAGTACTCGTCCCGAATAAGAAGACGTCTTTAGATAGACGGTCTGTGATGACCATGATATTTGTACAGCCCTGCGAAGATGGCATATCTGTCACGAAATCAATGGTAAGCTCGCTTCCTATCCGGTCAGGTATTGGTAGTGATTGCATGAACCCTGCCTTTGCTTCTCGCCATACTGTGGTTCGGCCGCAGACATCATAGTTCCGTATAAACCGACGAACTGATTCCCTCATCTTTGGCCAGAACCATCGCCTCAGAAGCATGCCAATCATTGTATCCTTTCCAGGATGTCCCGCCAGATAGCTATCGTGAGTTCGCTGCATTATTGCCGTTCTTAGTGGCTCGTAATCGGGAACCCAAATTCGATTTTCCCTTCCACGAAGAACGCTATCTGCGGG